TGATCAATCAATTGTGATTACATCTCAGTGCTACAGGAGGTTAGTCACGGCTCGGATAGCTCAGTGGTAACGTCTGTGACTGTGAAGCTGAGTGACACGAGATCGAATCCGCCAGGGAGCATCAGTTCCCTCAAGATTACAGGTACACCTTGCTGACGAGTGCCAAGTAGCACGAAACCCGGGTCCAGGGTTTCCTGTTGACTACCTCCAACCACCATCTAAATCTCAATACATAGTGCCCGCAGTGTCGAGTCACCTAGACTGGTGGCCACATTGCAACATGATCGATAGCATTCGATCTGCACTAATAAGGACTAGACAAGCAAGACATTGATCACCACCCAGTGATCAATCAATTGTAATTACATCTCAGTCCTACAGGAGGTTAGTCACGGCTCGGATAGCTCAGTGGTAACGTCTCTGACTGTGAAGCTGGGTGACACGAGATCGAATCCGCCAGGGAGCACCAGTTCCCTCAAGATTACAGGTACACCTTGCTGACGAGTGCCAAGTAGCACGGAACCCGGGTCCAGGGTTTCCTGTTGACTACCTCCAACCACCATCTAAATATTGGCGCTCTCTTGTACTAATATTTATGTGTTAAAATATTAAATAAATATACAAATAACATTCAGCTGACGAGTCTTAAATAGGACGACACGCGTTTCAAGCTGGAGTCCATTGCTAGCCACTATCCATCCTTGCGTAAAATGCTTGTGACTTAAGGCTATATCGAGGCGATCTACACAGGATGCACATATGCCAATATGAGACTGATCAATCTCAGCCCTAAATAACAATGTGAAGATACAAGTAAAAAAACATAAAGTGAATTTAAACGACAAACAGTTTATATTAGGCTGATTTAATCAATATTCTATAGCATTGAACGTGGAGTTAATTCGTTGTGTTCAAGTTTTATTCTCGCATAGAAATTTCTAATAGTTTTATTTATTTACTTTGTGTATGAATAGTTAGATGGTGATTTTTTAAGTCAGGTAGACAATTTCGGTGAAGACTTATTCTATGGGCTGGAAGGTTTATTCATGGAGGTTCCATTTTTATTTTGAACATCATCAGAACAAACATCTGGTAGATATGATGTACTTGAATTTCTCCATATTATGACTGACAGCTTGTTATGTCAACTCTCATCTCAAGTGCGTACTGTTGTATGCATATTTATTCTCGTTGTTTCTCTCTTTGATGATATGATTCCTGACTCTATGTTTGTTCATGATTTTTCCACTTAGTAAATTTATTGAGTTGACGTCGATGTGTCTGTTGATTGACTCGAGTATCTGTCTATCTAAAACCTCAACCATTTTTAAGTTGAATATGTGATGGAAATGATGAATAGAAAGAAATCACTCGAATATTTTATCTTGAGAATCCCATGTTGTAACGAATAGATAGTATTGGTAAGCCTATCTTGAAATTATAGGCACAATGACAGCTTACAACTAGGAAAACCTACTAACCAAAATCCACTGTTTATAATTTTCTTTGACATTTCGTTATTTCAAGTCTAATTGGGAAAAAGTTGAATGTGTTGTGACTTTGGAACCCAGCCAGTTTTCACGTGAGTTATCCGCGAATTGAAATAAAACTCATACAATATTAGTACTGTTGTAGCGGTAAAGCTATGATGTTCGACCACTATGAACAGCCTAGTGTCGTTATCTGTTCCCTTGATCTCCTAGCCCGTCCACTTCAGTCCAGAACTCCAATAAAAGCTTCCGTTATGTGAATCATTTATTTCAAATTTACTTGGTTTATATACCAGCCAAACACACCGCCGCATCACACTATGCAATAGAAAATAACATTTATACAATGTGAAGTCAAGATGTGGCTATGGGAGTGATTGTGGTGAGACTGTAATCAATAAACTGAACGTAACTAAAGAAAAACAGTAAATTGTATGATATTAGTCTATAGATCACAATGAAGCTTATACTAAGAGGAATATGAATATACACACTCTAATTACTGAGTAGTTAGTTATGCAGTTGGTTACACAGTAAGTATATATGTATAGCATTAGTCTATTATTAGTTGACAGAAGTTACCCATAGTTTAATCTTCATTAGAATATAACAATCTTCGTATTTTGTCTTCTGTTATAATCATGTACGTATAAACTGAAACTGACATCTATTTATCCATACATATTAGCTTATTCACAGAAGTTGAAGTAATAATACAGTAATAATAAAGTAATAATACTAATAATCAATAAAAATGCTTTTATCACACCATACGTGTATGGAGCAATAATTTGAAATGACTTTAATTTGAGATCCTCAATGATGTATGCCAATATTTGACTACTTACCCCTGTTACTCCTAGTGAAGGAGCGAGGATAGGCCGCCAACCAACCCTCTCCATTCAACTTTGTCCTAGCCAACCCTCTCCACTTCTTTCCAGTTGTTATACATCCTCTTCACATCTTCATTTGACTAGGAATTAAAAATGACAAAAAAGAAAAGAAAATTCAATCGATTTATGTTACAAATCTATTTGTTAATTTTTAAAAGAAATTTAAGTAATATATTTGTACAATGGTGGAGAAGTGGTCGCATTCCGATAATGACATTAGGCTGTTTGTAGTGGTCGAACATCATCGCTTTGTTACAGTACTAATATTGTATGAGTTTTATTTCAATTTGCGGATACATCACGTGATAACTAGTTGGGTTTCAAAGTCACAACAATGTGCTAGCAATCTCATAGAATGTGTTCTTCATATAACAGTCAATCATAATGCAATCACTAAATGAATTTAAATTCAGGTCTAAGTAGAATATGATAGAATGCTATATCAGTAATTCATAAGGTTATTGAGTTCATTGAGATAATCTATTTCAGATGCCAATTCACATTAGAAATGCAACCAACTATCAATCCATTGATGAATACATATTGGTCCCATAAAACTATTCTGTTGACATACTAACGAGTTTCGATGCAGATAACGTGGAATATATTCTAAATGATTTGCTGCCGAAAACGTTTAGATTTTGAGACTCAGTGTATACATATTTTTATTATGAGAATGGGGGTTTGTGGAGATTGTGGTAATTTAATGATTGAATTCATGGGTCGATTTAAGATAGGCCATCACGGGAAACTTGGAAGGACTGAACAGCCGCTTCGTCCTAGTATGGAACTCCTCAGAGGTGCGCACCCACGATTCCGCATTAGGGCCTCGAACCCAGGAACCTCGGTCTCGCTCTCGAACGCTTAACCTCTAGACCACTAAGCCGTAACTCAATGGTATTTATGTCTAACTTGGACCAATCTGAGATTTTGCGCGACCATCCACCATTATCTTCGAGTCGATAGTGCAACCATTGGTCTGGAGTTTTGTTCTATCGGCTGGCTGGACCGATGTTGTTACCTTGACGTGGTTATCAGGATTGCCTATCGTGATGAAGCAACCGAGCTGTACTGGCTGAAACAACCGTTCCTCAAGGTCCTACCATGTCCGACAGGTCGGTTGAAGAGCAGTAGGACTAAAATCAACAAACCCAAGTTCCGAAAGTGAAGTCGTACTGCTGACTGTATAGAGGTGTGACAGCAGAAAAACGTTTCCGTTAGACAACCAGCATAACAGCGATACTGCCTTCCCACAAGGAGGGGTGGGGTTAGAAAAGGTCGACCCTAAAATGCACACATCGCCTTATCCCACGGATATCCGTGTCGGGCGGTAAGGTCTCAACAAGTACGGAGTTAATACGGCAATTACCCATAGAAGATTGTTTCTCATTCTGGTGTACCTGCTTGGACTTTGACCATGCCCTAATACGGGCACGCATCTGCTTGCACCTCACTGGACGCAAAAAAGCCACACTTAAGAGAACCATTAGAACTGAATTGAGTAACGAGAAAACCAAAAGAAGGTTCCAGGGACAACTGAGGTCACACTTTGGAAGTTCTGAAAACGAGGCTGACCCAGATGTTTCTTCGAAAGGTATAAAAACAGTTGTGGAAATAGCAGTGACATCTATCGGTGATTTAAACCGCAGGGTTACAAAGAATCAATGGATTTCTTCAAGGTCTTTTGCACTGATGGATTCTCGCAAACTCATCCCATCAGGTTTTTGAACACGATAAAGAGCGTAAATAAATCAAATCTAGGTTAAACAAAAGTCTAAGAAACAAACGTGAGCACAAGGCGGCTCTACAGACTAATAAAATAAACTGGAATTATCAAGTCAAGTATAAGTCAGACTATTTCGGAAAAAGACAGCACTCTCATCTGCTCCTAGTCCAGAAGTTAAGAACGATTGGCGGGACGATTTGGAGAACATTTCAGCAGGCAATCGGGTACCCAACAACTACCCTCCATTCCCAGACAGTTTGAACGGAACATTGAAGTAGGTCCCCCAACCCTAGCTTAAGTTCGTGAACAGTGGAGCTAATCCTTGTCGGGTAGAAACAGTTATCTACCTCAGTACAATGGAAAGTTGGTCGCGCAAATTCGTGGATTGATTGATATTAGAAACCATCACCATTGGATGCCGGCTCAGTGGTCCGGTTGGTTAAGCGTCCGCGCGCTGATGGATATAACATGAGTTTTATAATAGAAGGAATTTGTTTTAGATCACATGTACGTTATATATATATATATATGGTGTACAATCAAGTTTGATTGAATCGGAAGATAAACTCAAATGTTGGAGAAGATTTGTAGCTCAGGAGGATGATTGTTGATGGAGTTTTGTTCTTTGAGCTGGATAGTTTGGTCGTGGAGCGTTCATCATTCTTATGAATGATATCGTCAGTACAAACTTCAGATAGAACCAAAACCATCCAGCTCAGAGAACAAAACTCCATCTAAAAAGATAAACTTTTGTTTTTTGAGGTTTGAAATATACGAAATGAATAAATAAATAAATAAATAAGTGTTGTGAATAAACAAAGTCAAAATGTAAATTTGATGTTATAAGAGTATTTAGATTGTCGTATGCCTTGATGGCAATGGCTGTGAAGTATGACCGGTAATAGTAGAGGATATTCATAGGTTACTAATATTTGATCATAGGTGTCTTCGAATCATTACTGGTATATGCTGAGACCACCGAGTAAGTAATGCAGTTGTTAGGAAACGGGTCCTAGGTAAGTATGGCAAATCAATTCATGAACTAGTGGAACTTCATCATTTGAGATGGCTGGAACATGAATTACTTATGACCAACCACACACTACTCAGACGAGCGATGTTTTATGGTGTGGGAGTAGGTTGGAAGAAAGCTAAATGCGTCAGACCAAATTATTGGCACAAATCCATGAAGTCACTGACAAGTGAACTGAGTGAGCCATGTTGGTAGGTGTTTTCTTTTTTTCTCTTTTCTAATGTATTTCACTGGATTATACTCTTTGAATAACATGTTCGAACTCCAGTGTTTTCGATGACTACTTATACTTTTACTATCTCAACCACTATGGTATTTGAATGGACAATTGTATCAATGTGCTCATGTGGTATGGCAACTTGAACCGATATGCATACGTACGTACGAAGTTCTACGTTGTTACTAACTGACTGACTGACTAAATCATACATTTACGTTTTGTGATATTTATATAAGAAAATTAAAGGTTAAACTAGACAAAATGGAACATACAAAGACAACACGATAGTATAGAACAACGATAGGAAATATACCACTCTAAATATTAAAAGTAGCTGGGTATTATTATGGTCGATTTGTTGTAACTAAATAGTTAATCAGAATTATGTGATATATTTACGCAATACATTGAGAACAATCTGATCACATTTAATATACTTGGTAAGAACATTTATATGGGAACACATGCCAAAATGCTTGCAGAAACAAATGGATTCCAATGGTCAAATAAGATCACAGGATAGACAGACATCATCCGCCATTGCGAAACATTTGATTGAGACTAGTCATAAGGTTGACATCAAGTCAGCATTTGTTGTGTTATCCAAAAGCCTTCAAGGACATATACTAAGGTTTATTGAAGCCTTGGCTATATGGAAATTGGAACCACCTTCATGTGTTCAAAAACAATTTGTCCTTACATTCAATCTACCCTGATAATACTGATTTATTATCCAGATTGGTAATCACAGTTGTTTTTGTGTACTTTAATATTTTTTCCCTTTGTTAAGGGTTCCCTTTAACCTGTCTAGTTGACCTTTCAATTTTCATATATAAATGTTCCTAACAAGTATATTAGGTGTGATCAGATTGTTCGAAATGTATTGCATTATCGAAATTTATGAAAGGGACTGGAGTTGAATTTTATTATGGTATCGAATTTGTTATGAAATGTGGCTAACTGAACATGACTGCCTTAAACTATCTGTCTTTCATAGTAATGTACTAGTGTAGTAAACGAGAACTCAGTTGGAGTAATTTAATTTACTGATTAGTGCAGAACCATATAGTGCTTTCGTAATCACAATTGACTGATCACCAGGTGATGATCAATGTCATGTGTGTGAAGTGCTTATTTAGTGCAGATCGAATGCTATCGACCATGTGCTTTCGCAAAATACGAAAGTCATATATTAAGTACATTGTTTGCACACCTTCCTTCAGTTATCCTGTACATACTTCTTCATTCTTCCAATTCAGTTTTTATTCAAATTCCTCTCTGTTGCCTTTTCTCTTTCCTTTATCTCAATCTTCAGCTGACACATTCTACTGCTAAATACTACTTATATCTGTCAGCATAGCAGTATACACCATACTAGTATATGTCACAGTTGAATGGAAAAGCTTACAAAAACTGTACAGTTTTGAGATAGTTCTTTTTTCTCATAGATTACAAAGTAATAAGTAATGAAATGCCGTTTCATCTGTAGTAGTAGTAGTAGTAGTAGTAGTAGTAGTAGTAGTAGTAGTAGTAGTAGTAGTAGTAGTAGCATATTTGTACACACTTACTAATGCCTGTTACTTCCAATTGAGCAGAGGCGTTTGACCATCATTCTCCAACCCGATCTCTTCTCGGCCTTCCTTTCTAGTTTTATTCAATTTTCGTTTATTTTTCTCATGTCTGTCTCCATTTCTCGGCGTAATGCTTTCTGTGATCTTCCTTTTTTCCTGCCTTGGCGTTGAGGATTCCATGTGAGGGTTCACCTTGTGACGTAGTTCGGTGTTTTCCTCAATATGTGTCCTATTCACTTCCAGTACTTCTTCTTAATTTTTTCCTCCGCTCGGATCTGCTTTGTTCTCTTCTATAGTAGGTTGTTTGTGATAGTGTTTGGTCAATAGATTCGAAGTATTTTGCGTAGAAAACTGGTAATAAACACCTGTATCTTCTGGATGATGGCTTTCGTAGTTCTCCAAGTTTCCGCCCCATACAGTAGAACTGTCTTGACATTTGTATTGAGAATTCTGACTTTGGTGTTGGTTGACAGTTGCTTTGAGTTCCAGATGTTCCTCAGTTGTAAATATGCTGCTCTTGCTTTGTCAATCCGCGCCTTCACATCTGCATCAGATCCACCCTGTTCATCAATGATGCTGCCCAAATATGTAAAGGTTTTTACATCTTCCAAATCTTCTCCGTCAATTGTGATTGGATTGGTGCATGCTGTGTTGTATCGGAGAATCTTGCTTTTCCCTTTGTGTATATTGAGACCTATTGCTGCTAAGGCTGCTGCTACACTGTTCGTCTTCTCCTGCATTTGTTGTTGCGATTGCGATAAGAGGGCCAGATCATCTACGAAGTCTAGATCGTCCAGCTGCATCCTAGATGTACACTGTATCCCACGTTTCCCTTCAGACGTTGACGTCTTCATGATCCAGTCAATCACCAGGAGAAAGAGAAAGGGTGAGAGTAAGCAACGATGAATATTTGTGTAAGTTATCAAATACTATAAAGTTAGGACAAGGTTCCATAATAATAATAATAATAAACTTTCAAATAGAAATGAACCATTTTCTTTTTTAGTATACTTTTATCATATTTAATTGTTAAATCTAATTCAAATCATCATAGATAACTTATTAGATGAATACTGATATGTATATTTAATGTATATTGTATCAAATGTATCATTGATACCTCAATGATTTGATGGATCCATTTCGATCAAGATCATTTATAGATGGTTCAATTATTATTACGATTGATAATAATTTATAATAAAAATTAACAAATGCTATTAGAGATACCATCTTGTTAGACAGGTCTATTAAATATACTTTATTCTAATTGGTGATTTAAATGATCCAAACAAAACACAATGTTCATATATAAATTATAATATTCAATTATTATTATACTATATAGCATTTATTTTCTTTTACTCTTATAATCATGACAAATAAATTGAATATTAAGTAAGTAGTATATTTTAATCAAAATAAATTTATTAATTTAATAGTTGAATTCATAAATCAATTGAAATTGGACAATGATGACAAAGCTTGAAACACTGGGTGGCCATTTCGTCCTAGTAGGAGACACCTCAACAGTGTGCATTCACTATCCCGACTCGCGAGATTTGAATCCAGGACCTGTCGGTCTCGTCCGCGAGCGCTCAACCACTAGCATATAGAGCCGTCTTCCAACGGTGTTAATATCTAATCCTCTCTCGTTATAATCATTATATGCTCACTAGTGACGGTATCCACAACGTATTTCCAGAAGTTGTAGTGAGAAGCCGTGATCAGTGGAATTCAACCAGTTCTGTTGTGAGATAGTAACTCATTGAAGACAATAGTTGGTGTGTCATTCAATTTCGTGGATTGGTTGAACTTAGACATTAACACTGTTGAATGCTAGCTTAGTGGTCTAATAGTTAAGCGTTCACGCTCGAGACCGATATGTCCTGGATTCGAATCTCGTGAGGCGGGGTCTTGGATATGTACTATTGAGGAGTTCTATACTAGGACGAAACAGTCTTCTAGTGTTTCCACGCTTTCCAAAGTGATCTAGCTTCATTTAACTCATGAATTCATCTAATAAATTCTTATATTATCCTCAAAAATCTTTCTCTCATTATAATTTAATTGATATTTGTTTATATTGTCTTATAGATCTATCATCATTCATCTGCAATCATATTTCATTATTTGGTCTTATTTCATTGGATTATTATTATTATTATTATCATTAATAATAAACTCTTCAATAAATCAATTAGTTACTGGGTTATCAATTAATTATACCTATGAAAATGATTCCTTTAATCAAGTAATGAATAATCAATAAATAATCGATAATTTGTTTCCTATAAAATAAAATTTTTTTTTAGTTAAAACATTCTAATTATCTACAACAGATAAAATTCAATCAATCGAATTCAATTCAATTGATGAATAGTGAAAAAATTCTATTAATATCAGATAGACCATTGGTAAATTGTACTTTATATAGTGATTAATTCAATACAGCATTTAGATACAATATTTCCAATTAAATTTTATGGTGAATATTATAAAACAGTTAAAATCTTATCAAACGGTTAGTAACATCAGTTATTGTTTTGCTCTTTTTTTTTGGGGGGGTGAGTGGTTGAGGTGGGATGGGATGGGGTGGGGTGGGGTATATGTTTTGTTTCATTATCATTGTTTAATTGTTTATTCATTAAATTCATTTCATGTTTACTTAATGAAATGGATTCTATAAATTGAATTTTATTACATGTAATGAATATCTATCTCTTTTCTATTTATGCATTAAGACTGTATTACAGAGAAAATATTCATTTTATAGTATGTAAAGAGTTTGAATTATATTTTTTTCTTATTATGAAATCATACGGTGACGCAATTTTGTGGATTGGTTAAAGTAAGACATTAACGCTGTTGAATGCCAGCTGGCTCAGTAGTCTAATGGTTAAGCGTTCACACGCGAAACTGTTAGGTACTGGGTTCGACTCTCGTGAAGTGTGGTCGCGGATGTACACTATTGAGGAGCCCTATACTAGGACAAAACGGCAACCCAGTGCTTCCAGGATTTCCATGGTGGTCTAGCATCAATTGGCACATGATTTCAACGATTGAAATTATAATGTATTTTAAATTGAGATTGTACTTATCAGTCAGTGGATTATGTAATCTCTTTTGGGGAATGATGACAATATTCTGTTGCTAAATAGAAAAAATGCTCTTGTAGGCTTGAAATTGTATTTCTAATGTAGTCACTTATTATTGACTGATAGCTATTGAGTTCAAAGCTCGCGGGTTGGATTAGTGGTTGCGGAATGCTGAAGAGTCTCATACTGTGATGAAATGGCGGTTCACTGCTTTCAGGTTTTCCATGGTGATCTAACTTCAGTTGACTCATGAATTCAACAATTGAATTAGATATAATTCGTTTTATTATTATCGCTACTCAGTTGATAAGCTAATTATACATCAAGAGTTTTAAGTTTTGTTGATCAGACTTGATTGTTGTAATGTGTATAAACACTATGTATTTATATATGATACTAAATACAATCTCAATGCATAAGGCTATACTTTATTTCTTTTTTTCTATATGAGCCTTGTATTCCCCTAGTAATTCTTTTATACAGAGAATAGATCATATTCGTTTAGACTTATTTATTGTAACAACAATTTGTAAAACCTCATTAACCAAAAGTTCTTTTATAATATAAATTATCACATAACTATCTGAGAATAACTGAATATTTGATATGATGAACAGCTTAGATCTAACAACCAGATAAGTACTTATATATATATGTACTGCGAATCATAAAATTCTTCTACAGTTTTGATAGAGTTTTGTTCTCTGAGCTGGATGGTTTGGTCGTGGAGCTTTCATCTTTCCATCCAGCTCATAGAACAAAACTCTATCAAAATCATCCACTTGAGTTACAAATCTCCTCTCCATCATTCTTTTATGGTATGGGGTTACCGACTCTCATACACAACGCTCCTCCTTTACTTTGGTTTAAGACTGGCAGTAACTTTAGAAGAGTTATAGAAAGAGTTATATTAACCTATTCTTCATTGTTAATTACTACTTACAAATAATTCTTTTTAAATATTCAATGAAAAGTTTTATAAATTAAAATGTCTTAAACATTCAAACGGATCTAACCAAATGAAATTTGCCTAATTAATAAAACGTGTCACCAGGTGACTTGTCAACTTATAAAGTTAGAGAAATACCTTTATTATTATTATTTTGCATTATTATCATAGTATTTCATAGTGAAAATAGTTTTAGTTAACTCCAAGAAAAAACGAAAAAAAACAGTTGTGCTAGTGTTAAACTAAACTATTGAATTTATTCGCAGCAAGTTTCCAAACGTAGTTCGTGTAAGCAAAGATGGATAGTGGCTAACAGTGGAATACAGGACACGTCTTTCGTCCTATTTGAAACTCGTCGGCTGGATGTACCTACATGTCAATCACTATCCATCTTTGCTTATAAACCTTGGGAATTAAGGCAATATCGAGGCATACGCACAGTATGCACGTATGTCAATAACAGACTGATCAACTGCAGCCTTAAACCTAAATAGTAAGATTGAAGTAAAACAATACGAAGTGTATGTAGATGGTGTAAATTTTAAAATGAATTGTTTTTTATTACTACATAAAACTAATATAACTCTTAGAAAGTTGAATCATTTTCAGTTCAATATTACACTAACACTGAAAACATGGAAGCATTGAATGACTGTTTCATCCTAGGATGGGACTTTAAAACAGTGAGCACTTACGATCACACATACAGGAATTGAACTCAGGACCTCTATTTTGGAACGTGAGAAGTTTAAATTTAAACTAGTGAACCGAAATCCAACAGTGTTAATGTTTAGCTCGAATCAGTGCATGACTTTGAACAACCATCTTCCATTGTTATCAGTAAGTAACTGTTTGAATGCGCTGCGGAGTCCCATATTAAGATCAAATGTCCATCCAGTGCTTACAGGTTAACGATGGTGATCCAACTTCATCGGGTTATGACTATAGTAAAGTTAGATATATTACTTGATTCTTATTGACCTTTATGACTAAGCGATTGAACTAGACTGAAAAAAGTTGTATAAACTGAAGAACTGAATCATTAAACTATCAGTCTATTCTTAATCAATAGAGTCAGTCATAAATTCTTGTGCTTCATTAAATTTACGAATCATTATGATAGTTTCCACTGAACTATTTTCAACACATACAACATATTTGTTAAACCACCATTGAAAACTTGGAAGTGTTTGACGGTCGTTTTGTTCTATTGTGGGACTTCTCAGCAGTGCACATCCACAATCCCGCTCGTGGAATTCGAACCACTAGAGTTTTCAGTCTCGCGCACGAGAGCTTAACAACTAAACCAGCATCCAATGGTGTTAATGTCTAACGTCAACCAATTCACGAAATTACGCCACCATCTTCGATTTTATTGAGGTAGATACCTGTCTCTATCCGACACGGATTAGCTACATACAACACATTTAATAAATATTAGGAATTATTTATTTATTTTTTTACATTAATTCAAGGTATTATAAATATTATTGAGTCAAATTTGGGGAAATTATCTGGAAGCATTAAAGTATTTTATGGAGTTTGGAAAACGGGTCAAGTGGATATTATTCAAAATGGTGAGCTATTCTACTATTGAAAGTTTAATTCATTTAGAATAATTTAAGTCATTGGATATCAGTCAGTCAATCAGTCAGCTACAACGTAGCACCAGGCACATATATGGATCGGTCAAAGTTACCATACCTCATTAACACAACAAGATGAACATCGTATTCATAAAAGTAGTTAATTCAGAGGTGGTAATATATAAAATAAAGATTGCGATAAGGATATAGTGCAAGAAGAAAGAATTAGTTCGTAGAAAGAAAGTTATGAATCGATTTTAATCTCACAGTTTAATGGAAGAAGACAGAAGTTATCAGATATAATTATTGTTTAAAAGAAAGCTTTATATTTTTCTACGTAATTAGGGTAAAATGTACATTTTCTTTGGTGTCGAACATTCATATCCATAGTAAATAATTAGAAACGATTAAATTTATCAATAAAGTTGTAAAGTTAATTTTTTTAATAGTTGAGATCATGAGTTAATTGAAGGTAGACTACCATGAAAAGACTAGAAGCACTGAATAACCGTTTCGTCTTAGTATGGGACTTTTCAACAGTGCACATCCACGATCCCGCCTCATGAGGTTCGAACTTAGGAAATATCAAGCGCAGGCGTGAACGCTTAACTATTAGACCACTAAGCCAGCATTCAACAGTGTTCATGTCTAAGTTCAACCAATCCACGAAATTGAGCGACACATCCATTTTTGTTTTCAGTTGGTTACTATCTCATAACTATTGACTCATGATCTCAACTATTAAAATTACTATAATATCCAGAAAAACCCTTCTGATATTAATTTTTTATTCAATGAATTACTAATAATCCGATTCAATTTTATTGTATTTATAGATAAGCTTCTAACAGTAAGATGGCCTAAGCTTCACATTTACAATTCACATGGAAAAGAAATGGAAGAACATGGTATGTAATAATCTTGGATACATTTATATATATACATATATTTCAATCGGGTCAGTTGTGAGGTAGTAACTCACTGATGTTAATGGTGGATGTGTCGCTCATTTTCGTGGATAAGTTGAAGTTAGACATTAAAACCATTGGATGCTTACCAGCTCAGTGGTGTAGTTGGTTAAGCGCCTAGCGCGAGAGTGATAGGTCCTGTGTTCGAATCTGGCGAGGCGGGGTCGTGGATGCGCGCTGTCGAGGAGTCCCAAAATAGGACGAAATGGCCGTCCAGTACTTCCAGGTTTTCCATGGTGATCTAGCTTCAACTGACTCATAATCTCAACTGTTGGAATTACTACAATCTTTACAATACCCTTTCTGATATATTTTTCTATATTAAATAAACCTTTTATATAACTGAAATATTTTATACTGAATAATGACTATTTGCGTAATACTTTAAGTCACATTTTTGTCTAGTCCGTATTGTCGATTGAATTCTATCAATCAGTTATATAATTTGGTTACTAATCTATATGTGACCGATAATCATATTGCCAAAATAGTTTACTAAAATATTCTAAAAAAATATTTCTATTATATTTACTTCAGTTATAGGCTAAATATGTATCATATTGATTTCAATACTTGGAATTCTGTATTATTATGAATATGACTTGAAAGATTCAAATAGAATATTCATGAAAATAATGAATTGACAAAAAGGAGATATCAACTATATCATTAACAGATGACTTTCTATTATTAATATAACATATAACCTAATAATTATCACATGATAATGAGAACAGAACTAATAAAAATGTTAACACTGTGCCAAATCAATGATTTATTAACTAATATAAGAAGCCTAAAAGTCTTTATAGATTATGCTTTTAATCATGATCTACCTGTTGAATCGAAAACATTGATTATCACCTACTATTATATGAATCATATAATTTAGATATACTTCGATGATAGACAAACAAACTTGTATATATCATACTCTACAATTATAATAGAATGAAGACAAAAAGTGACAATGTATGTGAGATATTATAACTAATAAATTGGAAATAACTAAAGAATAGTAAATTGTATAATAATAGTCAATAGGTCAAATGGAAGCTTATCATAAAAGGAATATGAATATATTTATATAATGTAGTTACTGAACAGTTATGAAATATGAATTTATTTCACTGTATTATACTTCAAGTCCTACTGCTTCCGATTACTGCTTATACTTCTACTACCTCTGGCACTACGAGATTTGAATCAACAACTGCATCTCTGTGCTAATGTGATGTGGCAACTCGAACTGATGTACGTACGTACGAAGTTCTACGTTGTTACTGACTGACTGACTGACTGACAATAAAAATATACATGTAGGATAACAATCCATAAACAGTTCCAAAAACTACCCATAATTTAATCTTTGTTGGGATATAACAGTTATTAGTAGTTATTTATTAATTTATTTTAACACATAGATATTGATACAAGGGGGCATTGGATACATAGGCATCACACAAATCTCATTTGATTTTGTTATAACTGTGAGACAGTAGCAGCTGATTAAAGGGTAGCGAATTATCGATCGGACCAAAGACGCGCAGACACGTAGAACGACCTAGGGTTCTGATTGGTCCCGCTTCCCTATCTAGCCCAGCAGTTGAGTCCAGAACGCAAGTCACAGCCTCGGATATATGAATCATTATATTTCAAACATACTCTGTTTATATACCAATCAAACAAACCACATCATACCATAAAATAGAAAATAACATTATACAATATTGGCCAGTAGAAAAATGACACGTTAAATAAGTATTGACCAATAAGAAAATAATACCATGTCCAAGTCCAAAAATAGCATTAGGCTAAATAGGATAATTTCTGGGATATTTTCCTGAATATCCCAACAGATTTGTGTGAGAGCTGTGATACTGCCCGGGTGTCCAAAGCAAAACAGAGTTATGAGTAGTAATATATCAATTATTTGTTAATAATTTTCAGCACAAATAACATGCACAATACATGTTAATGGAAACATAACAATTTTCTTTGAAACAGTAAGTTGATTAATTATTGAAATATTCTATTTCCTTTATTAAGAAAATTAGAATCATTTACCATAATTTTCTGAAAAATTTAAGCTTGACATTAACATTGATGTGTAACAGAGAGTTATCAGAATAGGGATTTTAGTAATTCAATAGTTGAATTCATGAAAAACCTGGAAGTACTGAACGACCGTTCGGTCTTAGTGTGGAAATTCTCAGCAGTGAACTTTCACGTTCCCGCTCCCAGGATTCGAACTCAAGACCTATCGATCTCGCACGCGAAAGTTTAAACTCTAGAACAGTGGACCAGCATTCAACATTGTTAATGTCTAACTTCAACCAATAGACGAAATTGAACCACTGTCCATCTTTGTCTTCAGTGAGTTACTATTTCACAACACAGCTCGTTGACCTCCACTGATCACAGCTTGTCACTAGAACTCCTGGAAATACCCCTGCTAAACGTTCAATAATATTAACTTCATTTGATATTGTTAACTTGACTCTTCCACTGCTAGCCACCATCTATCTTTGCTTATAATGATTGTGACTTAAGGTATTATCGAGGCAGTCTGCACAGAATGCACATATGCCAACGAAAAACTGATCAAAAACAGTCCTAAATAACAATGTAAAGATTCAAGTAAACAGTACTAAGGAAATTTAAAAGTTCAGTCCAAATACACAAGCAAGTGGCCATCAAAACTCAGTAGCTAAGTAAGCGGAGTTTGAAGTGTACGATACTGGGTTCGAATTGCAGAGTGTACATCAACTCTGAGGTGCAGGTACATCCAGTTGACGAGTCCCAAGTAGGACGAAACGAGAGTCAAACTGGATTCCACTGCTAACCATTATCCATCATTGATTGGAATAATTAAATATTGTAATAATTATTGATGAACTGTTATGAATATGGTTATAAGTTAGTAGGGAGAATAGAATAGAATTAAAATGATAGATTATGTAATATAGAAAGGGTGGATTAAGAACATGGAAAATGAGCAACTAAGCATAGTGTAGTCAGATAGAGGTTTTATAGATATCATAATAGTTTAACGATTGAATTCATGAGTCAATTGCAGCTAGACCACCATGGAAAATCTGGAAGCACTGTATTGTTGTTTCGTCCTAGTATGGGATTCCTCATCAATGCGCAACCACGAGCATAGTATGTTTGTACGCAAAAGCTAGGGTTAAAATGTTGGTTAATAATAACATCTGATTTACATAAGTTTTTCACTTACATTCCTATTGAGCCGATTCTTCTGATTGTATATGATGATTTTGATGGAAGCTTCTGGTGAAGTGAAGTAATAAGTTTCACTGGTTGAAATCATAAGTCAATTGAAGCTAGACCACCATGAAAAACCCGGAAGCACTGGGTGTCCGTTTCGTTCTAGTATGAGACTTCTCCTCAGCAGTGCGCATCCACGACCTCGCCTCCTGCGAGATTCGCGCGCGAACACCTAACCACTAGACCACAAGCAATCCACGAAGTAATAAGATGAAAATCATTGCCCTTTTGATAACTATAAAGACGAGAATAATAAAAATGTTTTAATAATTACCAACTAATAATCCTATGAAGATTATTGTAAAAGTCTACTGATTGAAATCATGGTCTAGTTAGTTAAGCGCCTGGCGCTAGACTGATAGGCCCTGGGTTCAAATCTCTCGGGTTGCAAGATCGTAGATGCGCACTACTGAAGAAGAGTCCCATACTGAGACAAAACAGCCGTCCAGTGCTTCCAAATTTTCCATCGTAGTCTAACTTCAATTGACTCATAATTTCAATCTGGGAAATTGTAGAAAGTCCAAACAAAACGTAATAAAACTAATAATAAATTGTAAACAAGCACAATCAATAAAAAGAAAAAAGAAAAAAAGAAATTTTTTTGTTTTTTTGTTTGTTTTGTTAAACTTTTAATGAATATCATTAATGTTTATTTATTTTGCCTTTTTATTATTAAGAAGTTAATTATCATTTAATGACAATAATAAATTTTTTTTATTAAAATCAATTAGCCTAATTTAATGAATTAAGTTTATCATGTATCATATGATAATCATAATATAAACAATAATAATTTATGGCTTATATTAATAAAGATTAAATTCTTTATCATAAAAACAAAGTTCATTTTAATTTATTAATAATTAATTATGTCATAATTATACTGTATTATGTAACTAAGGTGAATTTAACTTAATTGGCATACAAATTTGTTCTATTCATAATTTCTTCTTTAATTTTTATTTTTATGAGTATGAAGTAAAGTTTTTTGATTGACATCATGAACTAATTGATGTTAGATCATTATTGAAAACCTGAAAATATTTGATGGTTGTTTTGTCTTAGTATGAGACTTCTCATCAGTGTGCATCCACGATCCCAGAGTTTTCGATCTCGCGTGTTCACTAATGACTAGCTTCGTGAAGGAGTTCTCAGAGTTTTAATGAGAAGTTATGATTAGTGGAGTTCAACCAAGTCTGTTGTGAGCTAGTATATCACTGTAGACAATAATGAACGGTGACGCAATTTCATGGAATGGTTCAAGTTAGATATTAACACCATTGGATGCCGGCTCAATAGTATAAAGGTTAAGTGAGCGCGAGGGAGATTGAAAGGTCATGGGTTCGAATCTCACGAAACGGGATTGTGGACGTGCATTGCTGATAAATGTTTCTAAGTTTACCATGGTGGTCTAGCTTAAATCGATCCATGAATCTAAACATGACAATAAAATGTCCTTTACAGTTAACGTTAAACATATTTCCAATTTCACTGTTGTGAAACGCACTATTTTCTACTTTAAATGTTCAAACTAAATTTAGTACGTCATTATTCATTCATTTATGTTAAAATATTCAATTACTAATTTATTTCTTATAATTCATTATTTATATATTGCGATTTATCAGATACCGAATGGAACATTTAATGAAACAGAAGAATCTATGCCTGGAAGTCCTATATATTATCCAACGAAAATTCAAAGTAGGTTGAATTTCAAATAAGAGAATCAATGGAATATTGATGATAATTTTATTCAATGCTTTATGTTAAATACATAAGAGAACTCTAAGTAGATGAAATCTGAAAACGTTATTCGAAATCTTTATATTCATATATTTATATAATATCAAAGTGAGGATCTTCAATACGAACGTCAAGGTAGTTCTACAGTACGGATCTAGAACTTGGAGAACTACAAAAACCATCATCAAGAAGGTACAACCATTTATAAATGGTTGTTTACGCAAGATACTCAACATCCATTGGCCGGATACCATCAGCAACAGCCTTTTGTGGGAGAGAACAAACCAACTTCCAGCTGAAGAAGAAATTAGGAAAAGACGATGGAAATGGATAGAACATATATTATGGAAATCATCAAACTGCATCACGACGTAATCCCTAACTTGGAATCGTGAAGGAAAGTGGAAAAGAGGAAGGCCAAAGAACACATTACATCGGATAATAGAAGCAGATAAGAAAAGAATGAATAACAACTGAAAATAGCTAGAAAGAATTGCCCAGGACAGGGTTGGATGGAGAATGCTGGTGAGCGGCCTATGCTCCTTCATGAGAAGTAACAGGCTTAAGTAAGTAAGTAAGTAAATAAGTGATAAAAGCTAGAAATCATTTTCGAAGGATTGGAGAATAAAATTTACATGGTAATGTTTAGTTGTTGTTTTAGGACTGTAATTGATCAGTTTCTTGTTGACATAAATGTATCCTGTGCGGACTGTCACGATATTGCCATAAGTCACAAATTTTATAAGCAACGATGGATAGTGGTTAGTAGTGAGATCCAGTTTGACTCGCGTTTCATCCTATTTTGGACTCATCAGCTGAATGTACATGCATAAATCAATATTAGTTAGATATTTTTAATCAAACAAGATCATATATGAATTATTGTCTTAAAACTTTCTTATCTCCTATGATTTTATATTTTGTTTTTCAAAGTAGAAATATAGAATAAAGACAAAATAGTCAGATGTCTGTTATTGCCTCTTGAATTTTCCACGTTAGACTCATTAATCCATACACCATAGAATAATTTTCTTATTTCATTATGGTTGATATCACTCAGAGATAAAGATCTCAAATTTAATTTCTTATCCTGATTTCCAATTCCAACTACTAATTTTTAATTACTAACACTAATTATCAATCCGATTTTTTGAACCGAATAGTTAGATGATACTCGTAAGCTACTAGTATTTGACCACAGATGCCTTAGAAATATTGCTGGAGTCCGCTGGGATCACCGGGTAAGTAATAGTGAGGTTAGACGCAGGGTATTAGGGTATTAGATGGTAAATCAGTTGATGAGGTTGTAAATCCTCATCGACTGAGATGGTTGGGCCACGTGTTACGTATATCTGAACACCGATTACCATGACGTGCAATGCTAACCAGTGTTGGAGATGGTTGGAAGAAAGTTAGGGGCGGCCAAACCAAAACGTGGCATCAGTGTTTGAAGTCACTAACTTTTAGTCTGAGACGTGCTGGGAGATGCAGACTACTTGATTGAGGCGCACGTGAATATCATAACCAATGTTTTGAGACTCTTGGTGACATGGATCAGAATCGACCACAATGGTGTCGGTGTATACACTCTCTGTCTCCCCTTAAACTTACGGATTAAAATCGCTTCATATCTTTCTTTCTACGAACTAATTGTTTCTTCCTGTACTATATCCTTATTGCAATCTTCCTTTTATATATTACTACCTCTGAATTAACTACTTTTATGAATCCGGTGTCCATCTTGTTGTGTTAATGGCAACTTGGACCGATGCATATATGTGCCTGGTCCTACGTTGTAGCTGACCGCCTGATAGAGTTAGATAATATTTCACAGGAAAAGTCTTTAAATTGATCAAGATCACTCTCATAATTTAATTGTACCTAATTTTATTTGTATCTTGTTATATCAAATGGTATTTTACACGAAATGAAAGACTTGAATATGATAACTTTACTTACTTACGCACGTCTGTTACTCCTCTTTGGGAAGCATAGACCGCCCATCGGGACTCTACATTCAAGTCTGTCCTGTACCTCCTACCACCAATTTGCTTGATACACATATGGTAGATGCTAAAAATACCTAGTGATGATATGAAAAGATATAATTAAACTATGAAAATTTATTTATTAATCCTTCACTATTGAATATTCAACTATAAGTTTTAAAGTGATTTACATTTCTTTGTGGATTCCTTCTTTAAACTGTAGTAATTCATATTCATATTATTGTGCTTGTTTGACTTTTTTTATAGGTTATGCCTATTCACCTCATTACAAAAACACTGTGATAAAAGTTCCTGCATTCTTGATAAAGTCGAACACCTTAATGGAGTTTATACCAGATCCAAGTAGGTGGAGTTAAAACGAATTATTGATTTTTAATTACGTGATTATAGCTTCGTTTTTATCACTAGGTGAACAAAATGTAATTGATTTTCGCATTCGTTTAAATGTTTATTAAGATTAAGTTTTCATCATTGATGTAAGGATGTATGCAACTTGTAAACGTGCTCCATGGTTTAGTTCTGATTTCTTTTTCTTCTTCTTCTTCATATCCCGTTACAATAAATGAATTCTTTTTTCACAATTAATCCTTTTAAATATCAAACTGTTAATCTCAACCTGATACATGAATAGTAGTTAAGCACCTTGTTGGAATCACATAGACTTTGTATCATTAGAGATTATTTAGTAAAAACAGCGTCAAAGGTCTTCTCATGTTTTATTGCTATCGAAGAAAATTTTCCGTATGATTTACTATATAAAACGGCTGCATAATTTTAAGATTATTTGACATTTACCTTTACGATTTGTCGATTCTTGAATATTACCCATTATACTTTACTGTTCTCCATTATCCTTTCTCGGGCTTTTGAGATAAGATCTTTCTGTATTGTAAAGAGTGCTAAAAGCAGTTAGCAAGGTATATCGCGATTCTTTTGAGGTCATTAATAATATAGTTGTGGATAGACATCTAAAATCTTGAAAACTGCTAGCAGGTGTTATCAGATACCAACCATCAACTTCATTTACGTCTTTCTCCTTGTATATCTTCTAGTAGTACGAGATGTCAATACATTAGAATCCATTCACGCATGCTAAGGTATAAAACTTCTACAATACTTTATGTTGCAAAGACACTACGTGTAGAACAGGTTGTAAGATTTGACCTAGACAATAGTCTGTATTCTCAAACATGTTTCTAATTAGAAGTTGTACAGACTTTTACCTTATTAAAATAACATTTAATTCTAGACAGTTCATTCACTTACTTCATATACACATGTATGTAATCATCGACTATTTGAATCATTTTTATAAAAGAAATTTGTTGAACTATTGTGCGCTGAAAGTTTCATATCGTGATAAACATAACACTGAAATATGTTATTAATAATAACCCTAATAGTACTACCGTAGAGAATGAGAACAGTAGTGGATAATTACAGAATTTCTTTGTAAAATCTGAGAACCATAGAGTAAATACTTCATTCGCAAAATATTCATCAATTACATCAGAATTTGTTGTTCATTCGTTTCCATACCAATTACTCTCTGTTCTCCTTCTGTTCTTGATTTTCTCAACTTTCTGTCTCCAAGCGTTCCACTCTCGATCGGTGATACATACTACTTATATCTGTTGATATCAGCAGTACAAACCACACTACTGTTACCGATGGCAATAATAATAATAATTATGAAAAGTAGTTTTGCATGTTATTATTATTATTTAAACACATAAACATTGGTACAAGGGGGCACCAAATACATATGCGCCACATAAATCATTCAATTTGTGTGAGGGCTGGGATACTGCCCGGGTGCCCAGACCGAAGCAGGTGGTTATCTTAGGGGGCCACACCCCGAGTATTTCATCTAAAGATCTGACCCACAAGGCAATGGAGCATTGTGAAGAGTGAAGTCCCATGGTAGCCCGTGACCAACGATTGGTTAATACGTCATCTGTTCCCTCAGGACATTGGAGCCCATGTGCACCATTGGTTTGGAATCCGGTTAAAGCGCCGGACATTCGCTTTTCGTCCTCTCAATTTCGTAAACAATTGTAGTGCCGTGAGAAGGCATTGAGTATGACTTCCCTGGCAGAGGCTGTATACGTGTGGCCGTGTGATAGCATTTCGAGAGAGAGGGCGGGCCCACCACACTCTCTGCCATACCAGGGCATTCGGGGGCAGTTTTGCATGTAACTGTACATGATCAGAAAACCTTATTGGTACAGAAATGTCGATTATCAACAATTCTGTTATTAATTAACTGTGATCACTCTATTTAACCTTGTTTTTATTCCATCCATATTTTTTACAGTCACATAAATATTGTATCAAATAAGACAGAACCATACTTTTATGAGGTATTCAAATTAAGTTTGGAAAATTTAAGATTTTAATAATGTCAGTATTGTCTTATCAGTATAGGGTCGTGGAGATTGATGAGTTTAGATTGATATCATGAGTGGATCAATGTTAGACCGCCATTGAAAACCTAGAAGCATTGGACGATCGTTTTGTCGTATTATGGGACTCCTCAGCACTGTGCATCCACGATCCCGCGCACAGTTTTCGAACCCAAGACGTTTGATCTCGCGCGTGAACGCCTAATTATTGATACTTGAACAATAATAATAATAATAATGAATAAAAATTACGAATTGGTTGTTATGGCAGTGAGTCAGAGATTGGACAAACAGAATTTAGTAATATCGCATTATCCACAATTTAATCACAAGACAATTCTATTGTACGGAGCGGGAACGTGCAGAACTACCACAGACATCATCAAAACAGTACAAGTATTTATAGACAATTGTCTACACAAGATACTTAATGTCCGTTGACTGGATACCATCAGCAACAGTCTACTGTTGTAGAAAACAAACCAGCTCCCATCTGAAGAAGAAATTAAGAAAATAAGTTGGAAGTGGATAAGATACATATTACGGAAATCACTAAACTGTATCACGAGGCAAGCATTAACTTGGAATCATGAAGGAAAACGACATAGAGGTAGGCCAGTGAACAGACGGCTCCGAGAATTGAGAGCAGGTATGAAAAGGACGAATAGGAACTGGAAACGATTTTTCAGCACAGAGTTGGTTGGAGAATGCTAGTGGGTCATCTATACTCTTTCATGCCGGATAATTGGCGTAAGTATGTCAGTAAGTATTGTCGCTGGGTCCAAAATTCTGTGATACTTCCACAAGTTTCAATAAGCTTAACACAAAAATTCACTATGAAAGCCTGATTTACCATAAAACAAACCGCTTTATCCCTGTATTTAACAAAGTCAAACAACTTAAAACAACCATTGTAAACTGTCGCAATCGATATACCAATACAGGGTCAACAACTAAACGACTATTTCTAAGAATATAAATCTCAACTATTGGATCTATTGAGAAACAATGATATAGTGTTGGGTCACCCAGGTAAAGGTGCCGTGATCGTCATCGTGAATCGAAATAACTATGTTTTGAGAGTATTTTGTATTCTCTCTGATACCAACAAATTCCCTAAAAAAAAGTCTAAAAAGAGGCTTCAAGTCAAAGTCAGCAGAAATTAACAAAAATCCTTTAAAAAGTAAACTACAAATCAATTACCGATGGAAACCTCAATGAAAAAACCTAGACCAACTGGATTCATTATTCCACGACTATATGGCCTACTTAATGTACATAAGAAAGAAATCCTTATACTAGATATGAATAACTCGCCATATCATGCCATCACCAAATAGCTAGCTGGAATTCTTAGATCAGTCAGAAATCAACTAGATAGATACACTAATGGTGATTTGTTTGATTTTGTTGATGCACTATCAAGTGTTAAGCTAACCGGAAGGAACATGAAGTCACTAGATATCCCCTCTATTTTTACAAATGTACCTCTAACGGAAATAAACTGCCTACTATGTGATTACATTGAAAACAACAGACTCGATATGGGCGTTTTAGTACACTATTTGAAGAAAATACTACTCCGATGCACTCTAGATGTTCAATTTAAATTTGACAATGAGTTCCATAGACAAACTGACGGCATAGCGACAATGTCACTGCTCGAACCACTTTTAGCTGACCGTTTTATAACTAATCTCTAAAACACTATACTAAGGTAATCAATTGACAGCTTCTATCTACACAAGGATTACTAAGATGACACATTTGTGACAGAAATATCAATGTCAACGACATCGTGGATGTGGTTAATAACTGTCATTAATTAATTAAATTCACGACTGAATCAGAGTCCGATTCAAAATTCCATTTCTTAAATGTTTTGGTTAAAAGATCTGACGGTTCTCTGCAAAGATCGAAATAGAGAAAGCCAATATAGAATGGTTAACACATGAATTTTCAAAGTTGTGTCCCACTGAAAGAAAGGAGAGACCTGATCAATGCTCTCTGTACATGGGTTAAACGTATCTGTACCGAAGATACGATCGATATCAAAATTGATAAACTAAGATAGATGCTGATCAATACTGACTATCCACCTAGATTCATTGAAAAAAATCTGAAGTCAGAACAACAACGTGAAATTGTCCACAGCAGCAAAAAAGACTCTCCATGAATATCTAGTTCGAAAGTGATACTGCAGCAAAAATTCTGAAAAATAGACATTCAAGATGTCTAATGAAAACTATTTAATCGCCCTGTAATTCGAAATTGTGCGAAAGTTAAACTCCCACTTTGGGCGAAATCAGCTTAATATCTATTTAAGCGAAAACTATTCACAACTTACCACTTTTTCACTAGATGATTGCATGATTGTACATTATAAGTAAATGAAACTGGTGAAAAAGAGATTTTATTCACCGAACAGTCTTCTTATTTATTCAGTAACACAATACTATCTCATGTAAAATCGTATAAACAGTTTAATATCGAACTACATATTGTGAATGAATATAATATTTAGGTTATACAAGCGAATAAAACAATTATAGACATTAATTAAACTCAATATAAGAATATTCAAAGTAAGCAGAAATTAGATAATAATCAACATATTCTCACTGGTGACTGGCTTCAAGATGTAATATCCTGGAGTTCTAGTGCGAATCAGTGACCAATGGAGTTCAACCAGGTCTTTTGTGAGATGGTAGCTCACAGAAGACAATGGTGGATGTATCGATCAATTTTGTGGATTAGTTGAAGTTAGACATTAACACCATTGCATACCTGCCGGCTCAGTGGTACTGGGTTCGAATCTCGCGAGACTGGATCGTGGATGCGCACATCTGAGTAGTCCCACAATAGGACGAAACATCCGTCCAGTGCCTCCAGATTTTCTTAGGTAGTCTATCTTCGATTGACTCATGATCTCAATTATTGAAAAATTGGACAGATAAAATGAAATAAAAATTAAAAACAAGAAAAAAAAAGAAAATTAAAAAATCCATAAAAAACAAAAAAAAATAATTCACATATAAAATATTATATGAATTAAAGTTGCATTAAACACCCATTGACAAAGTATCAGTTTAAAAGAACTGCGAGATCTCATAAATAGTTCATGTAGTTTACATTGAAACTATTATAATAAGTGTTCTCAAAGAAAAATCCCTTATCAACACATCTAATTTTTTTCATGTCCAAGTTTGCTCTGATCAAACATCATGCAGTGAATGCCTCAAACCAGGTGCATTCGCTACAAAATGTTATTGGTGTCCAAGAACAAGAAAATGTACTAATACTCATGATAGTTATGGGAGAATGTGGAAGAAAGGAGAGTGTCAAATACAGGTAAGATATTCGACTTTTACTCTATTGTACCATTAAGTATTATGTTATACTTTGAAATTAGTTTAGTCATATTGTTAGCCTATAAGTGGTTCTATTGGAATATGAATAACTTACTGACTTTATAAAAATCTATGTCTCCATATTTTGTATCAGTGTTTATAAAAAATCTTCGTTGGTTCACTTCAATATTCTTTACAACAAGGAATCTGTGTGACTTTCTCCTTTTTAAGGCTATATTGGTATAACTTTCCACTCAATTTCATCATAGAGATCATTTATATTTTCACAAACCAACCATATTTGTAATATTTACTGACCAGCTTAGAAATATCAGTAGAAAATGGTTGACGTGCACACAATTCGTGTGATTAAAAATTGATGGATAAATCTAGGAGGAACTGTACACACATAAAAGTGGACTGAGAGAAATACACGACCTATCAATTTTGGGTAAACCTCATAGTCGTGGTGTACTTCATATAGTTGGTTTGAGTGAATCATATGTTTCAGATGAAGAAGTTGACGACGTTTAGGTGCTTCAAAATGCTTGTAAGCATACTGTGATATCTTGAAACCTGCTGACCAATATCATGTGACGAGTCACTAATCAGAATGCCACTTTTAAATTCATCTGTTATCTACTCTATAGATTAGTGTCTCTGAATCGATTTATTGTACGCCTGACCAGCACTAATGACCCTGACACGGCGATTGCCTTCCTATCGACCCAGCAACTTCCATCAAGTTTCTAGACCACATTCTCAGCACATACACCACAATCAAGTTATATTTACAATCATTTTCAATCTCCAATTCTGTTTGTTCAGCCGTCAGTCTAGAAACATATCCTACAGTTAACAGACATAATAGAATATCATCTATTCAAATTCCACTTAATATCCAGTGAAATAAAAGCCTTCTAGAAATTCTCACCAAAGTAGTACTCAAACAGGGATTCAATACAGAACATGTAGTGGATGCGCTACGTTTCCTCACAGGTTACAAACATTACTTACTTTCGCCTGTTACTGCCAATGAGGCATAGGCCGCCCACCAGCATTACCCAAACCACTTTGTCCTGGGCCTTCCTTTCTAGTTTTATCAAACTCGTTAAAAAAACGCTAACCAAAAAAGAAAATAATTCACATTCACAACCATACCAAGTCGTATATTGTTTATTAGCAATGACTCTTTTGAAATGTAAATGATATGACCACATTGTTTCTTGTTCTAGAATAGTGAAAATTGTACTGTTCAGAACGATGTTCTAACTACTCCGATTCAAGACATCATCAGTATAACAAAACCCTCGATCAAAAGAAATAAACTTACAAATCCTACACAGAAAATTACAAACAACAATTTATCAGAGCATGTATCCAGTACGACAACTGTTCAAGTAATTCAAGTTAATAAAACGTTGAGTATTCAACTAGGCAATATGTTTTTTGTGCTTCAATATATAATGATATGATATATGGATGTTAGCGGCACTATTTATTATTCACTTTATTGCTAGGTTTGAAACTATCACGAGTTCACTTAATCTGTGAACGAGAAACAAGACTCGGTGACCAAAGACCAGTAAGCTAGCTAATGATGCGTCCCAGCCCCGCTAACTAGAGGGAGAAGCTCAAGCTTGGAATCGGAAGTATATTCTGCAAACAGCCAGAAACGAGCGATCACAACAAACACAATTCAAAACGTATATATACAAATATATATAATCGATATTGCCATGGAGGTATTTTAAACATTTAATCGATAAGCTCGTCAATCGTCTATGTGTGTGGGTGGTAAGAAATGCCCAAGAATACATCTGCATACAAGCTCCACAAAGTTAAAATTGCAAAATATGAGTTTTTGAGGATCTATCGTCCCCAACACTTCTCTCCTTTTAATAGCGTACTTTCCTGGGGTCGACTTGAATCTTGACTGTTGCTCGCCGCTGTCGGAGAGGCCTTCTTCTGGAACGGAGATAAGCTTGTTGTTGAGATTCTTCTCGTGGTGAGGCTGCTGATAACTTGAAGGTATCAAGCAGGATATCAAGGAGAAGATTTACTCCTGTTGATTGGCGGTCTGGGGCTATCCGCTTCCGTAGTTGGTTTCCGTATCTAGTTCACGTGTCTCTTCTCACCTTTACCTCGTACATAACTTGGCCTATTCTTCCAAACACACGTGCTTCGATCCAAGGACCATGATTTGCTTTGTAGTCTCGAGCGAACACCGGGCATCCAGCCTCGTACGCTGGCAGCTTCTGAGATTTGGTCTGAGATGTTGTGGTTCTTGAGCACATCACACTGTGGATTGTCCTCAATTTCCTTCTCATAAGGATCTCTATCGAGGACTTCTAAGTGTTGTTCGGTGAACAAACAAGAAATTCTGCAGTGTTTCCACTGGCGTCCCAGCCCCTTTAGATTTCTTTAGAGCTCTCTTGAATGTATTCACGAGTCTTTCTGCTTAGTCATTTGACTGTGGGTGGTAAGGTAGAGAGCGGAAATGCTTGATCGATAGGTGTTTGAAAAATTCTTGAAATTGACTTGAGGTGAACTGCGTACCGTTGTCGGATACGGTTATATCCGGTAATCCGTTGCGGGAGAACATCTCTGGCACGTGGTCCTCTGTCACTGAGGAGGCAGTAACTGCATCTTCGCCAACCGTATGGTGTTCGCTGATAAGTTGTGACAAGGCGTCAGCCTGACCAAACTGTTGGGTGAGTCGACACTGAATGTTGAAATCATAACCGAAAAGTATCAAAGCCCATCGCTGGAGACGGTTTGCAGAATGGGCTGGAACACCAAATTTCGAACCCAAAATTGTGAGAAGAGGCTTGTGGTCAGTGAGAAGAGTAAGTCTTCAACCGTACAGGAATTTGTGGAAACAGCGTACTGAAAACACAAGGGCGAGGGCCACTTTCTTTATTTGACTGTACTTTCTTTCCGCTGAAGTTAATGTGCGAGATGCGTGCATAATAGCTTTCTCTGTTGCGTCCGGAAACTGATGTGAGATGACAGCACCGAGTCCAAAAGCTGAGGCGTCTGCAGCGACAAAGATAGGCTTAGACGGATCGTAGTGCGTCAGTAATAGTTCAGAGCTTATGATTGTTTTCAGCTTGCAAAATGCATCTTCACATTCTTTTGTCTATTTCCAGCTGTTCTTATTCATCGACGGAACAAAAGCTGAGTAGTAGCTAATTAATTCCAGAAATAATCGTAGCTCAGAGATATTAGTGGGATTCAGCATCAGTTTTATAGCTCGGATGTTTTCAGGATCTGGTCTGCGATCTGCGGCATCAAAGATGAATCCCAAGTATTTAACTGACTTCAAGAAAAGCTGGCATTTTTCTGGGCGTAATTAGAATCCGTTATTGCTGACGCGTTGTAGTACAGCTGTTCTAACGATGTGGCAAAAATTAAGATATCATCGAGATAAGTTGCGATCCCTGGGATACCTGATAGAATGGTATTCATTAGTTGCTGAAAAACAGATGAAGCTGTTTTAACACCAAATGGTAGACGATTGTACTGAAACAAGCCACGATGGTTATTTATGGTAAGTAACTCCCTCAAATCTTCAGCCACTTCCACTTGTAGATAGGCATCAGCGAGATCCAGCTTTGCAAAGAACTTCCTACCATTTAACATCGTGAAAATATCTGCAGGGAATCGTGAAAAGACACTTTACAATCTAGTTGTCCCAACAAACGTAGATAATTACCACATGCAGTTCGAGGTTTCTGTGTTGTTGACACCGTGCGTGGTCTTCCCGTTCTGATCCAATATTTTCGTGAGAGAATTATTACGTCAGATGCAGTGTCTATTCACAATCTAAACGGATGCCCATTAATATTAAAGGTAATAAATTTCCTCTCACCTGGGGTTGAGTTCTGACAGCTTGCTATTAGACTCAACGAATTCGTGTTGGATCTGGGTGTAGGCTTTCTGGTACCTCTGGAGTTGCTCGGCTTCTTTTTTCGACAGAAACCATCTTTATGACCCCCACTTTAGATTTCCTGCACCGATGTTGTTTATATGGACAGCTTCGAAAAAAATGTCATGCACCGCAGTGCCAGCATGGAGCAGGAGGATTTGTTTCTGTCTGTTGACCTGAACTAGATGTCGCTGGGGCAGATTTATGCGAGTTGGGTGGTTGTTGAACTACATGAACTTTGGTACGATCTGAACCACCATGCTGGACCATCGTAGTGTCACGCAGTAGATTGATTAGGAGTTGATATTCGTTTGCAATATCATTAAGAGTTCGTTTTGGGTCTTGGTCCAATCGACTTAGCAAGCGTGTTCTAATACCACTGAACTTCTGCGATTGAAAGCTGCAGATGAGAATGAGTGCTTTAAATTGGTCCTCAATAAGCGAATTCAAGCGGAAGCATTCTCATTCTCGGCTGTCGATACTCACATGTGTGAGAAAATCAGCATCTTCGTTCATAGTGAGCTTCAAACATCAATAGCGCGCATTGAGTAGTGAGGAGCTGTCTCCGAATTGTTGGCTCAATGAGTGGACAGTTTCCGAGAATGAGCGATCGCGTGGCATTAGAGGCATAGTTAGGTTGCAATACCTGTTTAGTTCACTATAACCCAACTTTCGAAGCAGCAAGCGGACCTACCAAGCATCATCCTGGTTAGCAAAGTCAAATTCTACTAAGTCTTTGAAACGTTAAACGTGACATTGGATTCCAGATCGTAATGAAACTCGGAGATACTGTTAGCGATACCATCAACTAATGTTGCGGTAGTAGTAGGATTAGAACTGCTTGGTTGAGTATTAGACGTAAGCTGTGTATCTGCTAACATCGAAATAAGTTTCATCTGCTGCTCGAGTAATAATTCAAGTTTAGAAGGATCCATGTTTCCGAAACCGCATTTACAACCATACCAAGTCGTATATTGTTTATTAGCAATGACTCTTTTGAAATGTAAATGATATGACCACATTGTTTCTTGTTCTAGAATAGTGAAAATTGTACTGTTCAGAACGATGTTCTAACTACTCCGATTCAAGACATCATCAGTATAACAAAACCCTCGATCAAAAGAAATAAACTTACAAATCTTACACAGAAAATTACAAACAACAATTTATCAGAGCATTTATCCAGTACGACAACTGTTCAAGTAATTCAAGTTAATAAAACGTTGAGTATTCAACTAGGCAGTATGTTTTTTGTGCTTCAATATATAATTGATAGTTCTTATATAATCTTATGGATGTTAGCGACACTATTTATTATTCACTTTATTATCCTTTTTAATATATTATGTAATCTATTATAACTCATACTTCTTATCAATAATTTCTTTGTTGGTACAATATTGATTTAGAATGCATTATTCTAATTTAGTCACTTATCCTCTATATGTTTCTAGATAAGTTTTCGTATTCACTATTTGATTTGTACATACATGATTAGTATTAAGTAGGAATTGGATAGATTTTCATCAGAATATTGAATGAATGACAAAATGAATTAAAAACAAGTGACAAACTAAATGACAACAGATTCAAACGTTATACAAAATATATAAAAAGATAACTGTTAAATTTTGCACAATATTTTAAACTGTTGTGTACCGATAAGAATAATGAATGGTAACTTTTTGAGATCCATTTATGGACCGATACTGTGCGTATTGTTTTGTCGTATAATTGTTAATTAACTAAACTATTCTTATTTATGTCTCTCTTATTATAAACTTTATTTTGACCTATGAACTGTTATTATACGATTTTCCATTCTTGAATTATTCCCTGTCTATTAATCACTACCTTCCACATTCAGTCATATTTGGCTAAATCTTGTACATATGCTGTTTCCTATTTTCTGGTGCGATGTGGTCTGCTTGATTGGTATATAAACTCAGTATGTTCGAAATATAATGATTCATATTGTAGGGGCTGAGATTGGTGTTCTGGACTTAACTGGCTAGGCTAGGTAGAAAACAGGACCAATCAAGACTCTAGACTGCTCGCATGTGTTTTACGCGCTCTTGGTCCGATCGATAGTTCACTGCTTACTAATCGACCGTTACAAGTTATAACAACTGTTTAACTATATCAATTTTTTTCACTACCATGTAATAAATCTGTGACTTTCCAGACCTGAATTTTATAGTTAATTAATTCTACTAACATTTTGTAGGGAAAAAGAAAACAAATGAAGACAATCGATTATATATAGCACAAAATTACAGAGCTACTTGGTAAAATAAAAAAATCATACTTTCAATACTTCATTTGCAAAATACTCATCGTCTCAGATTTTATTGTTCCTGCATTTCTGTACCAATGGTTTTCTGCCCCTATTCTTCCCTCCTTGATCTCAACCTTTTGCTGCCAGACATTTTATTCCTGACTAGCGTTATATACTACTTATGTCGAAATAAGTAGCACACCACAATACCAGAATTTATCTTTTTGCACACAAATTCTCGTAATTAGTTCATATTTTCATTACATATGGATTAAACCCTAAGTAGATAAGCACCTGGCTTCCGTCCAAATGTCATATTATACATCCCCAAAGTCTTTTATATCAGACAATTCTCGCATTCCAATCGATACTCATTAAGTGTACAACATCCGATGGTGAGCTCACAACTAATGATTTCACAAGTTCCACTGTGATGGGATTCGCAAGCAAAAGAGCGAATATTATGTTATTGGCTATGTGTAAAAGGACTCCACTATCACTTCCTAGGTAGTAGCATCCAATGATGAAGATTTACAGAGCTATTTATTTTAGGGGGTTATTAACCGCTACACTATATTATCATGCTATATGACATATTATTTATGGTTTCCCAATCTTTATATCATGTGCAAAGAGTAGAACAGGAGACTTTGCTAATGCTGCAGCCTTTAATGTAGTAATTTACTCAGTTAGGTTGACGTCGTAAGACAGATTGGTCATAGAAGCAGAGGGTACATTTCCCTACGTTAGATTATTAATGTTAATATCACTTTAATGTTCAGTATAAAGGTTGCCGAGCTTTATGGAGATTGCGTTGAGACAAGTAGATGCTGTCATCTCTTGCGGACATTATTTCAAAACCACTTGTGACACTCTCCAACATGTCCCTTTTACTCGCTCAACTCCCTAGAGATTGGAAGGATGCTATAGTCAGTCCTATATTTAAGGACGGTCAGAGACATATAATATCTAACTACCGGCCTGTCAGTCTAACTAGCATAGTCGTTAAGTTACTCGAAAAGATAATTCGGGTAAGGTTGCTAAGCCACATAGATTTACACAATCTGTTAGCTCCTGAGCAACACGGATTTCGTAACAAGCGTTCATGCTTGACTAACTTCCTTACTGCGAGGGAGGATTGGACAGCAGCCCTAGATAACGGTCTGACTGTCTGTCGATGTGATATTCATAGATTTCAGCAAAGCATTTGACAAGGTTTCACACGTAGGTCTTATTCAGAAGCTCACGAGCTTCGGAATAATAGGTACTGTACATGAGTGGATAGGAAATTTCTTATGTGACCGCAGGCAGAGAGTGAGGATCAACGGAACGCTATCCGATTGGAAGCCGGTCAAAAGTGGTGTACCTTAAGGCACCATCTTAGGCCCTCTGCTCTTCCTTCTCTACGTTAATGAGTTACCGCTGTTATTTAGGTCGTCGACATTATTGCTTGCGGATGATGTAAAAATCTGGAGAACAATAAAAAGTGCGGCTGATCATCTGGACCTTCAAGCTGACTTAGACGATTTAGTTAGATGGGCTCGAGAGTGGGGATTAGAAATCAATGATAGGAAGAGTGTGCTAATGCACATCGGTCACAGTAATACTTACCGTTACACTGTTGAGGGTAAACCTCTTCCATGCGTTCAAGAGCATAAAGACTTAGGAGTAGTATTAAGTCATGATTTAAAAACAACTATACATTGCAAAGCAGCCGCTTTCAAAGGTTTCCGAGCGTTATGGTCACTTCGCCGAGCATTCAAGTCTTTTGACGAGGAAACGTTTCGAATTTTATATCCCACCTATGTAAGACCACACTTAGAGTACTGTATCCAAGCAGCTATCCTGTGTCTGATAAAGGATACTAACTCACTTGAGCGTGTCCAGCGTGTAGGAACGAAATTAGTGAAAGGTCTTTCTAGTCTCCCTTATGATGAGGTGACTTTATACTGGCATTTCGTATCTTTAATTATGATTTGGATGTTAATATGTCTTACCTTTTTGCTCCCTCCAGTACTAATAATCTCCGCGGGCATAGCAAGAAGGTTCATAAACCAAAATCTAATAAACTTAAAGTGGGGTCCCGTTTTTCTCATCGAGTAGTCAATCATTGGAACGCCTTACCCGAACAAGTGGTATCAGCCCCATCAGTGAATACTTTCAAGGAAAAGATGGACCTTCACTGGAAAGCAATGTGTCAGGATTAACACAGGTTCATCAACCTACTATCCTTATTACTGAAGACTGAACATAGGTGTTGGTGGCATCCTCTTTCAAAACCTGACAGTTCGAAAACCCTGTAGGCAGAGATTTCACTTTCCACTCTGCCTACAGGTTTCTAGTTCAGCTAGTGCCATCTTCATTTTTAATTTTTATTCTAGGAACATACCATGTAATACCTCAATGTCGGTAATGTCGTGACTATGAGCGCTACTTAACGACAAATCTCGTCGTTTGTCATACCTTATGATGTGCATGGTCAAGTTTCAACACTTTTATCGGTCATCCCGCCTATTTTTATCAATTTTTTGACCTGTACTTCAGTAGAATTATATGTTAAGATGCTACGAATAAAGGGGCACGGTAAAATGTTAGATCCTTTCAAAGCCGCCCGCTATTGCGTTACAACGACCTTGATGATCTTCAGTCTTCAGTAATAAGGATAGTAGGTTGATGAACCTGTGTTAATCCTGACACATTACTTTCCAGTGAAGGTCCAGCTTTTCCTTGAAAGTATTCACTGATGGGGCTGATACCACTTGTTCGGGTAAGGCGTTCGATGAGAAAAACGGGATCCCACTTTAAGTTTATTAGATCGTGGTTTATGAACCTTCTTGCTATGACCTCGGAGATTAATAGTGCTGGAGGGAGCAAAAAGATAAGACATATTAACACCCAAATCATAATTAAAGATACGAAATGCCAGTATAAGGTCACCTCGTGTCCTACGATACGACATCAATTTCTGCAGGTTTGTTGGGTTGCACGAATGTCAGGTTTCGTCATGTTTAAGTGGTCCTTTGCTGCAGCAAAACCACAAAATCATTGGTAAGAACGTCGATTTATTTCTCTCTGTCATGTAGTCCACACGTTAGATCGATTGTTGTTTCGTAACTTCACAATCTTCCTTATTTCAGAGAAACTTTTGTCAGATTCGGGGACATTTTGCGGATTATTTTCGTCGGGGTCGTCCCGTCCTGTTTACCTAAAAGTAAAAAGTATTGCGAGCAGATGTGGGCTTGATCGTGTACAAATTTTGACATACCAGTGTCCTTGCCGTCATATGCTACAATCATACAAAAAATGAACTCTTACAATCCAACAACCCAACATGAACTCAACATAGTAGACGACTGGTGCAAACGCTGGAGGTTAGAGCTCAACACGGAGAATTGCGGCTGGTTATGTATAGGAGACACGTCTCTTAAAACTAGCACTTAACAACTACACACTGTCCATACTGGTATCAGTAACTGACCTAGGGGTACATTACTCACACAGTCTTAATTTCTCTGAACGCATCTCAGCCAAAGCGTCTAAAATGCAAAAAATGCTTTACTTCGTTCTCCGTAATTTCTACCAAAATGAATCTAAAATCCTTCATTATAAATTTGTGTAAAACCTATCGTTGTATATTGCTCGTTCTTATATTCCAACCCTAAAAAGTCGAGAGGACCACACGATCGACTGCCTACTACCAGTGGTTTTGCATTTATGGAGACTGTTACCCATTAACTGGTTATGACAACACAAAAAAACATCAGCACCAAGTTAGTGTGAGTTTTCTCCTGTTTGTTCTTTATTGGCTTTTTACTCTTCTGTTCAACTCCGCCTGGAGTCAGTCCGGGGGCTACTGCCGATCCCCAGCCCGGATAAAGGAGGAGGGTTGGGCATGGGGTTAGCGTCCCCATCCCATAGAAAACTAATTCGCTAAAAAAACGCTAACCAACTCTTCTGTTCACTATATGGACTAGAAATTAATATTATTTCCCCACTCGTTACCTTATCTACAACTCATATACTTCTATACTTTTCCGCTTGCTTTAACAAACAACTATCGTACATTATGTCCTTCTTAATGGTTATACTCTGATTGGAAAACTATACTTTATACTATAGTCAACAGAAGCACTGCATCGATGCCTTACCCACAGTCCATAACTTGTAACTGCCTGATAAGCTTGTAAAAAGGTACTTGTAGAAATAGTGTTTTCCAACAGGATGTGAAACACAGAGGATTGTGTGAGATATGACATATATCCAATAATAAGCTTAAATGAGTCTAACATCACAAAAGGAGGGAGGGTGGAGTTACTGACCAGCAAGCATTGATGGTTAGGGCGATGACTTCAATCCATCCGTGTTTGTGGGGCAGAAAGTCTTGTAAGTATCATGCTCTTTATGATTGAGAATAAGTCAATCAATATGTGATATAGATTGTGTTCGTACGCTCACCATTCAGACTCATGTTTCCAATTTTATGCTGGATCAGCTATTCTACTAAGGCAACCTATAGCATGCTAACCCGGACTTTTACACTGGGATTGTGTGGCTGGCATTGAATGGACAGTAAAAGAAAGAGAGAAAAATTAGACAGCAAAAGATGTAGTCATTAGTATTCTCAACACTTCACACTTTATATGTACAATCCCTTTTAATAAACCGCTTTCTTTGTATCAACTTTGACTTCCCTTCCTTCATGTGAGCTTGCTCCAAATTGTTAAACGACACAACTCATTGTTCTGTATTACTACATTCTCATATATGGAGCCTCTGACTTCATTTCACTCTAACAAGAGATAATATGAATTTAATCTAATTTATTATACTTCTGTCTGTTCTACTACACAATGTTAAGCAACCTTTGGCGTTCATATCGAGGTGCTTTGCAGCTCTTCTGTTTCTCTTTCCTTTTTTTCTTCAGAATCTTGCTTTAATGGCATAGCTATGGAACTTCTGACGTCTGGAACAAACTCGACGTACGCGTCTCCTCATTATCATGGTTTAAAGCAAACGCTCTACGAGTCTACTTTATAACAACTATAAACTTAGTAAGTTAGGAAGCAAGCTGTTCGCCAACAAATGATGTAATTTATAGGTCATGCTTGTAAAAATGGTGTTTACCTGCTAATTCAGAAATATATTATTGTTAAATAAGCTCGATCAAATGCGATATATAAACTGTATAGTTCATAATATTCTTATATATTGAAGTCGATAGAAGATAGATAGCACTCAAATATTCCATAATAACAGCGACTTCACTACCCAGACGAAGCAAACAGTATAAACAGATTCAACAAAACCAATTCTTACTTGATAATCATCAATACGGAGGTAAGACTTTAGTTTCCCTAACTCCTGTTTTTGTGTAGTATTATTTGTAGTGTGGCTTCGAGTCACGGCTGACTATGATCACTACTACGTGAAGACTACGTGCCAGTCAACTGATAAGATCCCCCGTAGGCCAAATATCATAAGGCAGTTGGTGGTTGTGGTCGACATGTATTTGTTGGCGATCTCGTGGTATCGAAAGAATACCGAGATCGTGCCAGGTTACAAGTGTGGTTACTGAGCACAACCGAATTCATGCAAGGTCACAATCAACGGTAGAATGTATGTGTTTTGGTACAGTCAAACAAACAAGTACAGTAAAACAATCTCTGGTAAAATAGGTTATAATAATAACTGTTTCCATTACACCAATCGCGTTCTCTTGATAAAAGTACGTCACTACATCTTTAGGATAGAAGATATGAATAGAAATACAACAAAGTGTGTAAACCTAACAAGAACTGTTTACTATAAGAAGTTCTTTGTAATCGTATTTTAAACTTAACTATATATCCAACTTGTGAACTGATTTGTCTTCATCAATTGTTGCTCCTCTTGTACCAGTAGTAATGATGCACCAACGAACGTTTGCTCAATTTTTATTTGCGTCTTCTTCGTAGTTTCATACAAAGATATACCGATAGGCTTAACGGGTAACTGTTTGTGAAGATTAAAAACAACTTGTTGTTTGCTTTATTAGTACCCGTTTCGTTACGATAGCTTGTAGTACTGCTGGGATGTTGCTTTGTGTATATATATTGTGGACTATTTCGACCTGAAAAATAGTGAATTTCACTTGCTTGAGTTTGTATTGTTACAGGCTAAATAAACATTCACCCAGGTTGTTAGCAATAAATACGCCAAACTACCAATTAACAGGAATAAAATCTATTTAGTAAGCACAAAGATTGCGAAAATTGACGTGTGACAGAAAAAATGTTGTTAATAGCTGGTAAATAACGACATTCAAAATCCTAAACAACATGTTACGTGTGCGCAAGAACCCGTGGTGTAACTTCGTGACCGCGTTGAATCACAACAAACTAATAATTGCACTTCTTGAAACACGTGCGTTTAGGAAGTGTGTCGACTCGTGAGCCCATCCAGAGTGTTTGATAAAATCTGAAAAACGATTACTCGGAAGTTGCTCAAGTATCCAGACGAAAACCGACTTTCTTCAGAACAATAAAATGGCTTTAGAACAGGTGGTTCGTGTCTCACAATCTTATTGGTGGTTCATGAACTTTGGTGCACTTATAAAAATTAAAGATAACCTAGATGTGGACACATAGAATGTAGTAGGGGTTTTGCTACAGATCCTCACAAGCAGCCGTCATCTGAGTTAAGTAATATTGAGATTGGAGGCAATAAGTTTACGGGTAAACTACGAGCTGTCTAGCTGGGAAACTGTGCTTAGCGTGGTGTCTCGGGGCAAAATTTTGAGGCGGATGTTTCCCTATTGTTTGTATATGACCTTTCTAGTCTCTTATCACCAGGGGTTTTGTTGTATACTGATGATATATAGATATGGAGAGCGATAAAGTGGTAATAGATTAGACTTCCAACATGACCTAGGTCTCAATAGTCTACAATTTGGCAGTTGAAGGTGAATTCTTTCAAGTTCATTATGATGAATATTGGTCACAACGGTACAGATACATATATGATGAATAAATTGAGCTACCTGTTGTCCAGGCACAACGACTTAGGAGCGATTGTTAGCCAAGACTTAAAAACTACTGCACACCATCGTGCGAAGCTGCCAAAGGTTTTAAAACCGTATGGCCATACGTAGAGCTCTTCGGCGTGTCGATGCAAAAACGCTTTCGACTCCAGAGCTCCAGTACTGCATACATACAGCTAACCCATACCCAAAAAAGGACAGTGAAATGTCGAAAAAGGTTCAAAGAATGGCAACTAAGTTGCTTCCTGGAAAGGTAGAGCTTCCACATGATGCTCTACTGGCTAAAGTAGACATATTCCCATTGTCACATCAAAAAACCGCAAACGACTTGATCACGGATTTAAATTACTTAGTGGGTATTTTGAATCTGATATACCCTTACTTCTCTTACCTTCCAAAACATAAGATTTATGAGGACACTCGGAAAGCGCATTGAAAACACATTGGTAGCCAGAACTGAAACAATGCATGAAGACAGTATTTTAACTGGAATAAAGTAAACAGTTGAGCACAAACGCAATCGTTGTATACAGATGTCTCAGTTAGACACAATTTAGAAAACAAGCCAGTTAAGTGCTTGTAGTCCATAAGTCTACAGCCACAACAAACCTTGAGAGTCTATTCACATATTACAGAAAATTATATATATATATATATATATATATATATATATATATATATATATATATATATATATATATATATATATGTTTGACCTGATAGTAATTACAGACAACTCACAAGGTCAGTGATAATGAAAATAATAATACTAATAATGCAGATACGGATGATATCCGCTTTTGTAATTGTTATCTTAGTCAATCACAAAAAAAAACAATTATGTCAAACAATCTGGAACTTTGTTACGTACTACAAAAAATGCAGTGACATTTCAAGACTTACGTAAACGTGTTGATTCTGACAATTTAAATATATCAGACGGTTTAACTGATATTTTTGAATGACGTTTTAAAAAAGAGCAGCGATTTATAACTGATATGTAATTCATGCATCGAAAGCATACTTCGTCGACCTTGACTTGGTTTATTTCAGTTAAGATTTGTGAATTTTTTAAATCCATTGTGGTGTCACGCTTTTTGGTTGAATTGTAACAGCATAGGTTGGTTGGTTAAGAGTTGACCCCAAACAACCAAGCATATGCCAAAACAGTATTGTTCAAGTATTCATTCACTTCCTTATTTTGTATAAGCGTTATATTCCTTATTATCTTATATTGAATGCTGAAAGCCTTTGTTTGTCTGAACAGATAATCCCACGCTCCACTGTGACTGCGCTAAGATCGAAATAAAGACTTCATCCAATTATTGTCTGGATTCTTCTATCAATAACACGAGGGTTACCTATAGGCACGACATTGGTGAGCCCTTTTTGAACACACATTAACCTCATTTTTGTTATTAATATTATTTTTTTTACTCAATCGTAAAAGTAGACCTGATTATCCGTAAACTAAGTTGGGTATATAAATAGTTTATTCTTTTTATTATCTTAAGTTATTCGTGTCATAGAAACCTTTTTTTTCTCGTGCTAATTTTATTGCTATATTTGTCACATACCTCATGTCAGACTTTAAAGAAACCCATAATCTGGAGGATTTGTCACCAGTGGAGATAGACACTGTTATGACTACGAAATCTCGACTTCCAGAATTTGATCGTAGTGATCCTGAGTTGTGGTTTGCTCAACTCGAGCATTATTTCACGAGACACAATATCAAATCTGAAGGGATTCGCTATAGAGATTTGTGTTCTATCCTTCCTCCTTCAGTCGCCAAAGAAGTCCGTGACTTGATTTTAGATCCACCATCACCACAACCGTACACCGTCTTAAGACGAGAGATAATGAACCGTTTATCATTATCAGATAGTCAAAGAATCCAAAGACTTTTTCAAGGTGAAACACTAGGTGATCGGTCGCCGTCACAGTTTCTACGTCACCTCCAAGTCTTAGTGGGTGATAACACAGTGGGTGAAGCAGTCCTAAAACAAGGATGGATACAAGCTCTCCCATGCTACGTCCAACACTGTTTGGATGCACAAGATCCTGAAACCTCATTATCTCATTTAGCGCGTATAGCTGATAGAATAATGGAAAGAGGTCCTCCAACTGGATCAGGCGCAATAAATCACACACAGAGAGTAGAATCAGCAAAAGACCCCGTCATAGAAGGACTCATTGCGAGTGTTAAGAGTCTCACTGAGGCTGTCACCAGAATGCAAATGGGTCATACAAACAGTAGCAGGTCACCACAACGATCACGATCCAAGTCACAAAATAGGTCACAAATGTCTAGACAATCTGGGCAGTTTTGTTGGTACCACTGGACGTTTGGTGTCAACTCAACCAAGTGCAGGCAACCATGCACCTGGCCTAAGCATAATTCCAAGACAGCGGGAAACGAGTAACCCCTCCCCAGGTCGCGACAACTGAGGAGGGGCGCCTAAACAGTCGCTTGTTTTATGTCAGAGACAGAAACTCGGGCTTGAATTTCTTGGTGGACACTGGCGCTGCTCTTAGCATCATCCCTCGAAATAAAACTGAGATTAGTCGAGAAACATCCCCGATTACACTTCAAGCTGCAAATAAAACTACAATCGCGACATTTGGGCAGAAAACGTTAACCCTAGATTTGGGGTTCAGAAGGCAATTCCCTTGGGTTTTCACGGTAGCCGACTTAGATCTGGCAATACTGGGGATGGACTTTCTAGAGAGATACGAATTTCTAGTTGACACCAAGAAACGGCGATTAACACTAAAAGAAACTTCGTTTCACACAAAAGGCAAAGAAAGTCACATCAGCTCTCTTAACTTGGTTCAAACCCCTCCAGTAACAACAGCGAAATTCCAAGATATACTCGCGGAATTTCCAAACTTAACCAAACCAAACCCACAGCCTTCCAAAGACAAACTAAAAGTAAGTCACACTATCAAAACCGAAGGTGCACCGGTGTTTGCAAAACCCAGGAGACTAGCACCAGATAAGCTCAAAATCGCTAGAGCCGAGTTTGATTATATGCTACAACTGGGTATTATCCGTCCGTCTGATAGTCAATGGGCATCCCCTTTGCATATGGTCCCAAAGAAGAATGAAGGTGACTGGCGACCGTGCGGGGATTACAGAGCCCTCAACCGTCAAACCGTACCAGATAGGTACCCAATACCGCATATCCAAGATTTCACAAACGGTTTACAGGGTATGAACATATTCACTAAAATTGACTTAGTCAGGGCATATCACAATATCCCGGTGGCTGATGAAGATATCCCTAAGACAGCTATTACAACACCCTTTGGCTTATTCGAGTTTGTACGCATGCCATTCGGCCTGAGAAATGCGGCACAGACATTTCAAAGATTCATAGATAACCTACTTCGAGATATGCCATTTGCGCAGGGGTATATAGACGACTTGTTAATTGCCAGCCCCGATTTGCAATCACACGAAGAGCATGTACGAGCAGTGTTGACAAGATTGAATGAACATGCAATAAACATACATCAAAGTAAGTGTGTTTTCGGTGTTCAAACTTTAGAATTTCTCGGTCACACAATAAGCCCAGAAGGGATTAAACCTATAAAAAAAGAAGTGGATACCATCAAACAATACCCGATACCTAGCTCTCTAACACAAATGAGAAGTTTTCTAGGTCTAATTAACTTTTATCGCAGATTCATACCAGGTTGTGCACAATTAATGCAACCTTTAACAGATTTACTTAAAGGAAAACCAAAAGAATTCAAACTGTCTTCTGACGCCGTCGAAGCTATTAAACAGCTTAAAGATAAACTGGCTCAAGCAACTACGTTGATATATCCGAATTCTCTTTCCCCACTTGCTTTGATGGTGGATGCTTCAGATAAAGCAGTAGGCGGTACCCTTAACCAACTGGTTAAAAACGCCTGGAAACCAATTGCTTTCTTCTCGAAAAGACTCGCTCCAGCTGAGACAAGGTATTCTACCTTCGGGCGAGAACTTCTTGCAATCTACCTGACTATTAAACACTTCCGACACATGTTAGAAGGTAGGGAATTTATGGTCTTTACGGATCACAAACCACTGACGAATGCATTAAAAGCGAGAGCCGATAAGTACTCACCTCGAGAAGTCCGACACCTTGACTATATATCACAGTTCACAGGCGATATCCGACATGTCAAAGGTCAGGACAATCAGGCGGCAGATGCTTTATCCAGACTAGAAATGAACGTGGTACAACAGTCTACAGTAAACTTCGAGACGTTGAGACACGAACAAGAGCAGGACCTAGAATTACAAAACCTACTCAAAACAAACAATTCAAGTCTTAATTTAAAACAGTTCCCATCACCTATCGATGGTATTCTAATTTACTGTGACACGACCAAGGCAATGCCGCGACCTTTCGTTCCCAAAAATATGCGAAAGTTGATATATAATAACTTTCATTCTTTGTCTCATCCTGGAGCAAAAGCTTCAACTAAACTAATCAATGCTAGATATATATGGCCGAATTTACAGAAGGATGTACACAAATGGGTTAGAGAGTGTTCAGCATGCCAACAATCAAAGATTAATCGTCACACAAATTCACCCATAGGTGTTTTCTCGCAACCAGATGCACGTTTTGCACATGTGCATATCGACTTGGTAGGTCCTTTACCCCGTTCAAATGGTTTTAATTATCTTTTTACATGCATAGATCGATTTACCAGATTCCCTATAGCCATCCCGATAGCGGACATCACAGCGGAAACAGTAGCCAAAGCTTTCATGCAGAACTGGGTAACCATTTTTGGTACACCCATAACAATAACGACGGATAGAGGAGCGCAATTCGAATCCGAACTATTTAATAACTTGGCTAAACTTCTAGGCTCCAATAGGATACGCTGCACTGCATATCATCCTCAGGCTAATGGGATGGTAGAACGTTTTCACCGTCAGCTAAAAACTGCCCTTATATCTCACTCAAACCCCAATCAGTGGACAGAATTCCTACCATTAGTTATGTTGGGAATACGAACATCTGTCAAAACTGACGCACAGTGTTCAGCTGCGGAACTGGTTTTCGGAACAACTCTGAGACTACCAGGTGAATTTATTAACCCTAATACTAACAGTCAAAAACTTAATTTAGAAAATTACGTAGATCAACTACGGGACCATATGTCCAAACTTAAACCAATTAACACTCGCGAACAATCGCGCGCCGTATATGTACCTAAAGACCTAAGCAATTGCACGCACGTCTGGATAAGATGTGATAAAATAAAATCACCACTCAGTCCTCCATTTGAAGGTCCTTTCAAAGTCGTCTCAAGAAAATCTAAATATTTCGTGATAGAAAAACATGGAAACATCGACACAATAAGTATTGATAGGCTAAAACCGGCTTATCTAGATCATGAACCACCATACGTATTGTTAGATCGTATAACTGACAAATCCATTACGGAATCGAAATGTAAAGATGATAAATCTTTACAAATGACTAAAACGGTCCGCTGGGCACATCCAATTAGTCAGTCAAGGATGTTGACAGTTTCGGCTGCAGGATAAAATCTAACCACGTAGCTAATCAGACCCTGCATCTACTCAAAAATATTTTTCCCCTCATTCCGCCTCACCTACAACTCCCCAGACCTTTTACATTTGATACATAAATGTTATGTTAAATTTTTTTTTAATACTGGACACATAAGCTAGGTATTCCGAAACGATGGCTGAGGATTTTAATCAAACTCATACAACTAACACTGGCAAATACAACGAATTCAAAAAGCAACCCAGGCGAGTTTTATAATTTCTTTTTTCTGGTTAATTAACTATGTTGGCTGTACTCCTTATATATCTTTATACATTTTTCACGTAGACTGGCAATACATATATACAATATGAACTACTTCTAAGAGTTTCCGGTCGAAGATATGTTTAGTAGCTTGATACGATTAATACTACTATTAA